GGACAAGCAGGGCCCCTGCTTTGGGCCCTGTGTGTTAGAGGGTCCTGCTCTGGCCATCCAGGGCTGCCACCTTCCCCATGGGCTGAGAGTTGGTAGGGCCAAGGAGCTGCGTCCACCCAGAGCCTAAGCACCCTTCCAGACCACGACACCCCCACCCCCCGCCCGGGTACCTGGGACCCTGGAATTCCCTCCTATCCCAGGGCCTGTTCTCCTGAGGGCAACATGAAAGGTCTCACATGGTCATTGGGCCCTTAGGGTATGGGACTGAAACAGCTTGGTTAGAGGTAAAGGGGACATCTCCTAGGATATGGGTGACTAGGGGCAGGGCCTGGTAGCTGCTCTCCCCATGTTGCCAGGGTCCAGTGTGGAATCTGGGGATTCTCAGAGGTGGTTAATAAGGTGTATTTGTGAAGGAAGAATAGAACTTATTTAATAGTTTGTTAGCTACAGCTTAACTGATGACTTATCGTTCTTTGGAGTTCAGACTTACGGTGCATAGACCTCTCTGCCTAGACTCCCAAAGGTTTGGGATGGGCCTGGGGAGGGGACCTGCAGCCCCAGAGTTCTGTTTTGGTGTTTAACCAGCAAACAGAGGCAGCCCTCCCACCCAGACAGATGGACTGGGAACGTGGTGAGTCGAGCTCACCAGGCTGTTGAGTTCTGAGTCACGAGGCCAAGGCGGCGGCAGAAGCAGGCACGGGGCCGCAGACCCCAGACCTGTGCTGGACCAATGAACGCTCTTCCTCAGCCTTGCCCTAGGGTCCTGGGAGGGCTACTGAGTTTCTCACACTTCCCCAACTGTAAAGTGTGGATGTTAACTGTCCGTCCTTCATCAGGTTGGTGCAAGGAGGCAATGACATTATGGTGAAAGTTCTGGGAGCAGAGTAAGAGCTCAATAAAGATTGATGGATACAATTGGTTTTATTAAAAGGAGGGCTAGGCTGGCAGTTTGCAGAAGGAATGGGCCCCATTTCCCAGGTGTCACCCCTGGTTCTGTAGTCCCTCCCACCCTCACCAATCGATGCTTCAAGCCCTCAGCAATTTACGGCCTCATCATCTTGGCTTTATTTACCAAGAGAGCTGCGCCTCTGCCCCCCCCAACCCCCCAGTGCTTAATCAGGAGCTGAGATGGGCAGTGATAGAGCGCAGTGCCAGACGTCTTGTGAGGAGCAGAGCCAGGGGTCGTCCTACCTCCCTCCGCCTTGTTTGCCCGATGAAAGAGGAAACCATCAAGACCAGAGGGGAGGCTGGGGCCCAGAGAGGGGAGGGCTGCAGCCAGGGCAACTGCTCACATCAGTGGCAGAGTCAGAACCCAACCCAGGTCTCCAGGTGCCCCTCCCAGCCCAGGCACCCTTGGCCGGTAGTTTTCTCGCTCCTCTGGGGAGCCTCCGCTCCAGTGTGCCCCTTACCCACATCTCCTCTCAGCCTGATCTTTGGGTGCTGGGGGCAGGCCCTGATTTGGCCAACCCTCTGTCCCATGTTTCCCTTCAGTTCTCGCCTCCACGCCCTAAGACCTCCTCATCTCTCACTGCAGGAATAGTCTCCTCATTTTACAGAAAAAGAAACTGAGGTCTTAGCTTGAGGACTAGCCTGGAAGGAAGGGACTAGCTTGAGGGCCCCATAGTGCCTCTTGGTGAGACCTCAGGCCAGGGTCCCACCTGGAAGAGAGATGTGGAGACAGACAGACACACAACGTAAATACACAGGTAATCTCAACTCAACAGATTCCTCTTACAGGAACAAGTTCACTAACCTAGACTTCTTTTCTCCAGCAAACCAAAGATCTGTCATAGTTTTCATACTAACAACCACTGATGACTGATATCTGGGGCAGGTGGGATGGGGGTTGGGGTTAGGTACACTCCCCCCGTGCCCCCACAATCCCCTGAGCAGACAGCACCCCAGTCCTGGCCACCCTCCTGCATGGATCCCTGATGTGTTTCTCCTGCTGAACTGGGGCTTCCTGAGGACAGGGACTTGTGTAGGGAGTTATCTTTATGTCATTGTCACTGAGCTTAGGGATGTGCTTCCAGAGAAGGGTCAGCGGGGAAGGCCTGGGTGAGGTGTGTTGCTCCCCCCTTCCCCACCCTTCCCTGGCTCGAAGGGTCCATGAACACGGTGACTATTAATATGCCTCCTGCAAAGTGAAGGCCCCCCTCAGTTTCCTCTGCACTGCCATCCACTCTCTTGTTAATCCTCTCCAAGGCCTCAACGGTTGGTACCGGGAGAGTATTCCCTCTACTCAATAGAAGAGACAGGCCCAGAGAGGTGGAACGATTTACCCAAGGTCACGCAGTTCTTGAGTGGTGGAGACGGGACTCAACTCTGGTTCACCTGCACAGATGAGAGGGCTCTGCAGGGCAAGGTAACAGGGTATGGTACACAGAACATGCCCAAAAAGCTGGCCAAATGAATGAATGAATGAATGCCTGTGTCTGACTATAAAGTCAACAGGGGAGGAGAGAGGCAGCTTGGGGTCCGTGGGCGTGGGGGAGCACTTGACAGTTGTTCTCTGTGTCCCCTTCTTGGCTCCTCAAGCACTCTCGTTCTTGGGGCAGCCCCTTTTCCCACCAGCCTCCCCATGCTGTTTCACCCCTGGGGTGGGAGGCTTTCTCATCAGAAGTGTGCCTCCCCTTCAAGATCCAGTCCCTAATGTCTGTGGGGCCTGTGACAGAGACATAAGGGGAGGCTCTCAGCATGTGCCACCCTCCCTCCCCAAAGGGCCATCCCCTGGGCCTAGCTGGGCTTCTCCCTGAAAGTACTCCACTCTGGGGAGGATGGACTTTGGGAAGAGGCCTGCATCGTTCTCAAGAGCAGGCTCAGGTCCATCTGAATAAGGAATCCTGGGGTCTTGGATACCCAGAAAGTGATCTAGAATTGTGGGTCTTGGGATCTAGGGCACATTTACCCAGCCCCACAGGCCCTTGCCCTTTGGGGAGAGATGAGTATGGGGGAAGGCCAGGAAGGACCCGATGAATCGTCAAAGGAGGGTACCCCCCATCTTGTCTAATAACCCTGTTCCAGGGGCCCAGGGGCCATCTCCTGGGGCCAAGGTCACTTGCCCCTCTGGTCAAGTTGATCAGAAAGACAAATCCACTCCAGCGGCCAGTGGCTTTCCCTGGCTGGGCAGCACCGGGCTCCCCACCTGCTCCAGGGACCAGGCAGGGGGTGGTGCGCCCACAAGTGTGTGAGTATGCGGAGTGGGGGAGGGCGGCTGGCCTGCGGGGGGGCCTTGCTCAGCTCTCACACACACCAAGAGACAATAAATCGACAAACACTTAATCTCTCTGCAAATTGAAACGGAGCCGTAAATATCTGCTGCATCCCAGCAGCTGAGTTATGAGTCTTGTTTATTAATCTCTTTAGTCCCAGGTGATGGATGGGGGAGGAGAATGGCCCACCAGAGACTCAGAGGGCGGGGGCACGGAGGGGAGAGGAGTGCGCCAGGGTTCTGGGAACGGCCCGTCTGGAGAAAGGGTCAGACGGCGGAGGTCTGCAGGATTCGTGCCTCCCCCCACCCCCCACCCCCACCTCCCCCTCCTTCTCGAAGGGCCCATGAACACAGTGACCAGTCCTAAGCCTCCCACACAGTGGACAGCCCTTCGGTTTCCAGCACACTGCCATCTGCTCTTGTTAATCCTCCTTGCAGTCTTAAGAGGGGGACAGGGGAGAGTATTCCTTCCACTTAACAATGAGCAGACAGGCCCAGAGAGGTGGTGTGACTTTTCCAAGGTCACACAGCTCTTGAGTGGTGGGGACCGAAGTCTGCTAGGGCTCTATGGAGAGAAAGGGAGGAGGCGCTGTGTGTGTGTCGGGGGGAGAACAGAACACTTGTACGATGGTCTTATTGCTTCCTTCCCCCCTTCCTCCTTTCCCTCCCTTCCTCAAACGCTTGTGAGCTCACCCTCTCTCTCTGTGTGTGCATGTGTAGGAACTGGTGGACGAAGAGAAGGACAGAGTGAGGAGCTGGTGAGGGGCTCAGCTGAGCCCGGGAGCTGTGACGGTTGCACACTCCAAGATCTGTGTTTAGGAACCCCTGCCCCTAGTGCCAGCCGCTGGGCTCTCAGCTGAGGGGCCGCAGGAGTGCAGGGGAGGAGCTGGGGAGGGCTGGTGTGGGGTGGGTGTGATAAAGTGCTCGTGTGATGAACATATGCCCCTTCCTGGGCCTCTGGCCAGCTGGACAGGACAGGGGTGCTTGCGGAAGCGACGGGACAGAAGACAGAGCTGGCAAACTGGGGCCGTGAGCACTGTGCTGTGGAGCTGGGGGCTACAGACAGTGGGGGGCTGGAGCGAGAGGGAGAAGGTGACAGCCATGTTTCGGGAATGCGTCAGGTGGTTTGTGTGGCGTGGCTGGGAGGGGACACCCAGTCAGGTGCATCCGGTTGGAGGCTATTGAGGTAGGTGCCAGATGGCTGTATGTTCTCTCTCCCTGTCTCACTGATTGTCTTGTGTTTTCTCTGCCCCTGTGCCCCAAAGTATCGGAGCCCCCTGGTGGGGTTCTGCCTCCCAGGTTGGGCTCAGTGTCTCTCTGGCTCCTGGGGGCCAACCCCAGGCTCCTGGGCTTTGTGACCCCTTCACCGCAGACGGCCATTCCTGTAAGTCACCGTTGCGTGCAGTGTCATACTCAGGTAACCACCAGGTGGTGCCTTGGGAGCGGGGCCGGCTTTGAGCTTCTCAGCCTCACCAGCCTGCAGACCTCATCCTGGTGGGGGGCGGGTGGTGAGAGGCTCTGGTCACAGCCCCAGGGGGGACCCAGAACATCTGCTCCAACCTCCTCTGCTGACAGAGGAAGGAACTGGGGCCCAGAGAGGGGAAGGGAGTTCAAGGTCACTTCAAGGAGGTGGTGAGAGCTCTGTGAGAGCAGGGGACAGTGTGGAGTCGGGCAGGATGGGCAGAGGGTGTGTGCCCTGTTGCTGCAGGGCTGACGGGGAGGGCCCACGCCACGCAGGGTGACTCTCTTCCTGGTTTGACTGAGTCTGTCTCTGGGTTAGCACTGCAAGTCCTACTGCTCGGGGACTCCTTGGTCCTGGGCAAACAGGGATGGCTGGGCACCCTCGGGCCACTCCCAGCAGCCATGCAGGACCACGCTCCCAGGAATCTCTGCTACACCGCCAGGCCCCCCTTATGAAGGTCCCTCCTCTGTCCCACCTGGCCCTATGGAGCTGTTAGAGCAGGTAAGCAGCTCTCCTGTGTTACAGATGGAGAAATCAAAGCTCAGGGACACAGTGCTCAGAACCACCCTGGGAAGGCATGGCAGAGCCAGCCCCTCTCCACCTGCCTGGCGGGGGGGGGGGGGGGGGGGGCCCCGGGGGGGGGGGGGGCCCCCCCCCCCCCCGCCCCCCCCCCGGGGGGGGGGGGGGGGGGGGCGGTCCCTGGGCTAGGAGGCCTGCACTCCAGTGGTCTGAACCCCACCTCTGCTGCTGTGTGATCTGAGAGAGGTCACAGTTCCTTGGGCCTTCCTTCTTCTCCTCGCCCATGAAATGGGACTCTCTTTCTTGGGGAAATGGTGTCCCGAGGAGCTGAAGTCAACCTACCACTCTTAGGAGAGGTCAAATGGGGTGGTAACAGTGGGGGAAGTGAAGTTAAGGAAATGAGGATGAAGGGATCATTCTGGGGTCCAGCAGACTTTAGAAAGGGAGAGAGACAAAAGCTGTGCTCAGAGCGGGGCTGGCATGTGGGGACCGGGAAGGGGAGAGATGGAGGGGGAAAGGCTTTCAAAGAGAGAATGAAAGAAATGAGTTATTCCAGTGTGGTGAGGTTGGAAAAACTCCACTGAATCTTTAAACAACCCTTGTCAATTATTCATCTGCTGGTATGAGGGCCTCTGGTCTGCCACAAATCTCTGAGCACAGGAGGGAGGGAGGGAAGGAGGGAGGGAAACAGAGAGAGTCAGAGAGAGAGAGAAAGCCAGAGAATCAGAAAGAAATTGAGAAAACCAAAGAAAGGCGGAAGCAGGGAGAGGCAGCAATGGGGGTGGGGAGAGAGACAGAGGGAAAAGGAGGTGTGTGGGGGGCGAATGGAGGAAGGGAGCCAGAGAGAAGATGATAAAGACCCTGTGCTAGAATTTCTGCACTACAAACAACACTGAACACACACTTCTTGAATAGCAACCGAGTACTTCTTCCTCCTCCAGGAAGCCTTCCTTGCTCCCCTCTCTCTTTCCTGAGGACTCACTCGGTGTGCCCAGCAATGCTGGGTAAGCATGGCACTTAAGAAGATAAATGGTCTTGGCCATGCCCCTTTGCCATTTATCCCTCACCAAATATTTCCTGTGTGTCTGCTCAGTGTCACCCTGTTGTTTCCTGGAGTGTGGCTCGCTCCTGCCTGCTGAGAAAGTCCAGGGCTCTGGGCCTTGGCCTCTTCCTCCCCGACGCTTCCCCCTGCACAGCTGGACACAGCACTGGGTACCTGGCCGGGGTGGGGGCTTCTGGTTTTTGGGCAGGCTGGAGGAATTGCTGAGGTTACTGCCCAGGGAATGGGGAATCCTGGCACAGGCAGGTGCTTGATAAGCCCTCTGTGAATGGAACCAGCCCCTCATCTTCCCTGCTCTTGACATTGCCTGGCTCAGCATGAGGTGGGCTCAGGGAGGGTGGGGTATGGGGGTGAAGGGGAATGCTTGCAAGTTGTTTAATGTTTGGGAGTTACCATATTCAAGACGACGCTTTAATGTCGCGTTCTTCACACTCAAAAGCCCACCTCTTCCAAAAAAGACTCCCTGGCCTCTCAGAAGGGAGGTGGAGGCTTCCTCCAGCCCTGCCAAGCCCTACATCTGCCCTGAGACCACATCCGTGGACCCTGGTCCCAGGAGGTCCACTCGGGACAGGAGCTTTGCACCATGTGGACAAAGTGGCACCTGAAAGGCGTGTTAGTTAAAACCAGTCTGAGATGGAAGAACTGGCTGGACCTCAGCTGGGAACAAAGGCGGACCCAAGGGTGCATTAGGGGAAGGGAGCCTTGTGGGGCTCATGGCGGCTACAGAGCTGGGACTGGCCCCTGGGGCAGAGAGGGTACAGACCCCGCGTCCCCTCCACTCCCTTCTCCCTTCCCAAGGTGCTCCTTTCTCCAGGAAATGCTCAATTTCCTATTAAGCCAGAGTAGGCTCTGGAGGGACTCAGAGGTAAAATTGTCTCTTGGGCTCTGGGCACCAGGCTACAAGACTAGACCGACAAACACGCTCCAGAAATCTGGTGCCGCTGAGAGGCTCACAGCCTGAATTCAGAGGCGGGGAGAAGAGGGAGGCAGGTCATCGCTGGCTCCCTACTCAACCACGGCCATGTCACCGGGGCCCCGCTGCCCTGCCCCCAGGCTCTGCTGCTGACCACACGCCCAGGAGTCACACACTGTGAAGGCGCCCTTGCCACCCAGATGTTCCAGTGGTGGCTGAGTATCTTCTGCTCTATGACTGTCTGCAGCTTACCCGCTGTGTGTTCACTCCCATGTTCTGTGTTTGCAGGTCCTATCATCCAGTGCTGTGGAATAGTGTTGTATGGTGGGGCTCTATTGATATGCAACTATACTCCACCACTCCCTGCCTGCATTCTAGTGCTTGTCACTGTGTCTCTCGTTTGCATGAGCTCGTCTATTGCTATATAATTTTGTGTGGTTGCTATGGAACGGTGACGCGTTGCTACATGGCTACCTGTGATTTCACGGAGCTGCACATTGTTGGTACCCACCCACGTTCTATTGCTTGGGATAGGGCTCTGTGGGCCATGTGGATGTCTGGGTCCTGCCCTGGTCCTCGCAGGCTCTGGCGAGCGGGTATGAGCTGGAGCTGGGGGCTGGGTCTCCAGGACCTAACTTGGGCAAAGGATCAGAGGTGGGAAAAGCCAGATGATAAATCTGAGCTGAGAGAGAGAGAGGGAGAGAGAGAGGAAGGGACAAATGATGGGTTGGGGGACTGAAGGCAGGGTTGGGAGGGAAAATGGAGTGGAACCAAGAGTCAGGCACCAGGAGGGGACAGGCTGGGCCTGACACAGGCTGTGATGGGCAAGGGATAAGGGCAGGCCCAGTGTACTTAATACTGCATGAGTGTCTGAGGGACCCAGTGGTGTCAGGTTGGCTCAACAGTGCAGGGCTGGGCATGCAGGCCTCCGCAGCTACCTGTTTTCATTTATAAGCAAGGCAGCATGGGAGAGTGGCGTCAGGAAGCCTTGGGCAGGGTTACCCCACCTTAGGGCTTCCTCATTGCCACCCTTCATCAAATTAGGAGACTGGACTAGACGCCCTCTAAAGTTCTTTCTGATGGCCTTGCTGTCTAGCCAGGCATTTCATCACATGGCCCAGTAAGTATTTACCACCATCTTGCCAGGTGCCCATCAAGAGGGAGGGTAGAGGGACCAGCCCACTGACAGGAGTGCTAAGTGATTTCCAGAGGGGGCATGCTTCTCTGGACGCATGAACCCAACTCAGAGCTGCTCTGATAGCCTGTGAGTATAGAGGATCCCTAAGCCCCCTTGTACGCATTCAGAGCCTTCCAGAATCTTGTCTTAGTGTTCTTGGGCCACTTATTTCTCCTCCTCCCCTCCATTGCTCAGAATGGTTATTTGGCCTCTTGCTCAAGAACAGTTCCTGTTCTTGGCTAACCTGCTGCAGGTTAGTGCCATCTTTTATGGTTGAATCCTTATGAAAAGACAAAGACTGACCACAGGCTCTATTCATGCTGCCAAAGTCTCCAAAGACAAAGTCTGCATGTTTATTTTTAACGCAGTTGAGAGCTAAGCTCGCAAATCAGCCCTGAGCTCTGTTTTCCCAAGGGGCAGAGGTGAGAGAAGGGTGTGTAGAAGGTGGCCCATGGGTGCTCTGGCACCTGCTCCGGGGTGGGCAGGGGAAGTCCATGTGGGAGCATCCTGGGCACACCCAGCAGACAGCAACCCTTCCTATTAATCTGATGGCACGTGTTCCAGAAAGGTGCAGAAGTGCCAGGGGAAGATGCGGAGGCCGTCGGTGGAGAGGGGCAGATCCTGAGAAGGGGAGCCCCAGGGCTTCCCTAGGGGCCAGTGGCCTTGGCTGGGGCCTTTCCTCAGGATCTTTCTGAGTAGTGTTCCCCATGGGACCCGCTGTGGAAGAAGGGAGGAAGCCACGCATGAATTCACCCCTGGTACCCAAGTGGGGACTTTGACTGGACTGTCTTTTGGTGGTCTGTTCTTTATCTCTCTGCATTAAGGGGCCAGGACTCAGCACTGACCCCTCACCAAATTAAGCCACCACCTTGGCCACCTTCACCAACCGTTCCCCAGCATCTGGTCAACTGCCGCTCCCATGACCAAGGACAGAGACCCTGGGACCAAAGACGGTGTCCTCTTTTCTTTGAGCCCCAATCTCCTCTTTGAGAAATTGAAATTATTGACTCAGAGGGGCTTCCCCTTACCCATGGGATGTGCTCCTGAGAAAGTGCTGGGTTGATCTCTACTTGAGTCAATGGATCCCTGTCTTACAAGTGTTGCAAGGGTTTGCTTTGAAGGAGATTGTGTGGGAGTTCCATTCGAAAGGTGAAGAAACTCTGTAAAATGAAGAATCCATACCTTCCACCAGTTTAGCTTGGGGGTAAGTCACATACAGAGTGTGCCTGAAGGGAGGTCTCCTTGCCACCTGGGGAGTGAACTTGGTGACAGTCAAACCCTTTCCCCGTGACCCCTGTCGCCACTCTTCCTTTCCCAGCACTGGGTGGAGACACTTACCATTTCATGGGACATCTTGGGTGCCTGAGGCTCTATCTCTGTTTCCTGAGAGGTAGATGTGCTGGAATCCATTGTAGAGCTCACCGTGGCCTTGGACCAGGACTCACGGATGGTACCCAGTTTCTCATCTAAGATCTTGGGGTCCAGGATGGGCAGAACCTGGCTGTTGTTTGGTGTCAAGAAGTTTTCCGGCTTCTGGGAAGAGAAGGTGCAAAGAAATTTCTGTCTTTCTACCACAAATGACTTTTCCAGACCCCCGAAGCCTCTCCTCTTCATGGCTCAGGAGGCCCTGCATGCCTGGCTCCTGTCTACCGCCTACCACCTGCCCCCTTGCTCCCTGGGGCCTTACCACACTGTCCTGGGCATTCCTCCAACAAGCTAGCCTTTCCTGCCTCAGGGCCTTTGCCCCTGCTGTGCTCTCTGCCCAGATAGCCTCATGGGTCTTTACATAGCTGTCCTCTTCTCATCATTCAGATTTCAGCCCAGACGAGAGACCCTGGCCTTCAAGAGAGAGGCCCATCCTCTCTAAAGTCACCCCTCCTCCAATATACGCTGTATTCACATTATCCCATTTTACTGTTCATAGTACTTAACTCTACTAGAAAATTAAACTTGCAAAAACTGATTTTGCTTGTTTACTGTCTGCCTCCCTCTGATCCCCACACTACAGCGCAAGCGACATGTAAGTAGAGACTTTGTCCCCAGACACTGCCTCATTGTAGTGCTCAAAATCTATTTGTCGCAGGAATAAACAAACCATGCCATCCAGGACTCTCACATTTGGTGCAGTAACAACAGCTTCAAACATCGCCATGCTCCTTTGACACCCTTTGCTGGGAAGATTCCTTTTCCATTCCACATCTGCCGTTAGCCTCCCATCTATCACCTGTCAAACAGTCTCCTCTCTCTCTGCTCCGCTGGGCCTCCTTCTTGTGCTGTCAGGTACTTTTTCCTCTTCTCTGCTCCCCTTGACATGACTGCAGCTCTCATCTCTGCTGGTCTAGAACTCAACCTCACTCAGATCCCAACTTCTCTAGGAAATCTTGATGGCCTCCACTCACACTTGCTCAAAGCTTTTCTGGGATCTTCCAGCCCAGAAGCTGGCTCTCTCTGCTCTCACACTGTTCTCTAATTCCAGGCTCATTTGCCATTTTTGTTTTTCTGCCCAAACTTTAAGTTCCCTGGGCTTAGGGACATGTGTGATGCTCCCTTTGAGGAGAGGTTACTTTAAAGCTCTCTTGGAAATCCATGGTTAACCCTAAGAGGTGCATGTTGTTCAAAGGCTGTAGGGACCTCAGAGATGACCAGCTTCTACCCTAGGAATTCTGTCTTGGCCACATAGCAGATAAATATGCCACCATCTGTGCTAGAAGCAAGTAAAACAATGGGCACAGTGCCAACCAGCACAGGATGTGCTCAGGGTTAGAGGTGCCTGAATGTCTGACCCTGAACAAACAGAGGAAGAACAAAGTATGGGTCGGCCTCCCTTGAAGTGGATATTCTATATAAAAACCCACACATATGAACCGGATGAATCAGGATAAGGACCCTTCACTTTACCACCTGGATCCTTTAAATAATGATTCCTTTATCCCCTTTTAAAATAAAATTTTGTATGCAGAAGTTCCTGGGGCGCCTAGGTGGCTCAGTTGGTTAAGTGTCTGACTCTTGGTTTTGGCTCAGGTCATGATCTTAGGGTTGTGAGCTCAAGCCCCTCGTCAGGCTCTGTGCTAAGTGGGGAATCTGCTTGAGATTCTCTCCCTCTCCCTCTGCCTCTCCTCCCCCTGCTCTCTCTCTCTAATTTTAAAAATTAAAAAAAAATTTGGTATGCACAAATTCATTAACATGAAGTCTTTTCAGGCTTATGTCAGTAGAGTAAGGGATAGTAATGCAAGGATAGAGGCATCTAGTCCAGTCTGGGCCTCATCTCCCACCTATCCTGTCAGAGGGGTACAAGGACAGATGATTCCAAAGAGAAAGCAGCTATATAAAGATTCTTAGAATGAGAAGAGGAAGCATTGGGTGACCTTGAGGCTGATTTTGGCACCTATTGTACTTTATAACCAAAACTCCTGAGCCTGTTTTGTCCCTGGGCTTTAGGCCTGGCTATCTCTCTCACCTGCCTCTCCCAGTGACTATGGTTTAGGGAGGGCGAGATTCATCGAGAGTTTCCCCACTGAACACACCAGTGGCTCTGTATAGCATCTGAGTCAGGTGGTTTGGGGTTGTCTTGTTGTCTCTGCGTTTTAGATAGGAAAAAGCACCACATGCTGTCTCCTGCTCAGAACAGCTGAACACCAGACTGGCTGGAGCAGGAGAACTATAGAATGCCTACCGGATGGATGCGTGGGTAGATGGATACAGGAGAGAATGAAGGAAAGAACAGCTAGTCGGGGCAAAGATGAACTCCCTATTGACCAGGTGGCCCCTGGGACCGGGGCGAGATGCTGATTCAGGACCTGTAATGACATCTCTCCTCATTTCCAGGCAGAAAGCCAATCTCGCTGCCCTGGATTTCATAGACTGCCATCTAATCCAGTTAAGGGAGGAAGTGGAAGTAATGAAATCAAGGGAGAGGTCTCCAGAGGTGCCCCATCAGCTCTGAAAGCAGGGACACACTGCAGAGGGAGTCCCTTCCCCCACTGCCCGTCTCCCTCACATCTATCCTGTGTGGGCCCAGCACCAGCTGGATAAACTCAGCGACCCAGAGCTGACATGTCCTGGGCCCCTGATGGGAGCTGGGCACTTATCAGTACTTAAAAAAAATTTTTTTTTCAAAAGAAAGGCAGTTCATCACATGTGGTGCCTCATTTAGATGTGTCTGGTGTCTTGGAAGCTTGACTAGTCTACGTTCTCCCACAACTGGACCTTGAGAGGTTATTTGGAGGTTCTAGCTGGGGAGAGCAGCTACTCGTACACCCTTGATGGAAGAACAATCTTCTTCTATCTACAGAGCACAGCTTCAGGAGGGATGCATGCAGAGCAGTAAGGGAGAAAGGGGACACCTGCTTAGCCAGTCAGACCAGCTGAATCAACCCCGGTGATCAATGGGGTGAGAGATGTTGCAGCTAGATTACCCTCACACACTCACCAGGCACTTTAACATGGATTCTGAAATTTATTATGTGTAATTCATTTAATTTTTCATCACAAAGATAAGATTAAAATGACACTGACCCCTGAGTCCAGACCAGTGACTTCACCTTGTCAATCTCTGGTAGGCAGGTTGTGGGAGAGGATGTTCTCAGGAGGAGGGAAGGAAAGGCAGAGTATTTATGGATGTCAACTCTTCTGCTCCTTCTGACACCTAGCTGCTCTTCCTGGGGCCCCTGCAAGACTCAGTGGATCTACTCTGCTCTGCCCTCTCCATGGCTGGCCCTGGACCGTATCTGTTTCCACAGCTGCTTCATGCTAGTACCTCCCCACCTCCCACACCCATCCTTGCAGGACTCCTGCCCACAATTCTAATCCCCTGCTCTAATCAACTTTGCCAGGATCCATCCTGGTCTGGGAGTTGGGGGCAAGTGAGCGGGTGACTTTTATAGAAAAATCTTTAGATTCCCATACAGTAGAAGCCCCAAAGGGAGGGCCAGAGGCAGTTGCTCTTGTCATATGAGGTAAGGAGGCTCACAATACCCCAAACAGTGCCTAAATTCTCCTTAACATTGCCTATTCAGACTGCCCAGCTTCAGTCTGCCCACGTTGTGGGGAGGCAATTGTGCCCTCTCTTCCTTGCTTCTCATGGGAAAGGAGCTTGTCTGGGGCTACAAGAAGGGGCAAGGCTGATCAAAATGGTGGGTAGTCAGGGTGGAAGATGGGGGAAGGGGATAATGCTAAAATGAGGATGAAGAGAGGGTAGGGCCTTGGGGACTAACTCCTCCCTATTTAAGCCCAGGCTTACCTAGCTCTCCTCCTTTTTTCTAGGTGAGGGTGGAGGCTGCTATCCCACCCCACAGGCCTGCTTGTTTGCTTTTCTACTTGGCAGGCCTTGCCCTGATGGCTGAGGCAGCTTGGGGCTGACAAGTGGCCCCTCCACTCTGTGGTTCCGTGGCTGCAGCATGTCCTGCTTCATTAGGGCTGAAATTGGAGACCTACCTTGAAAGCTCAAAGCAATGCACAGCCATGTGCTGGCTCAGACTCGCTGCGCAGCTCACTACTCCTTGTGCTGCCGCAGCTGCCCCACACCACGTGAGTGTCATGGTAGAAAGCAGACTCCCCTTCCTCATGCCTCAGCCCTTTGCTGTTGCCTGCAGAGGAGGGTCTGTTGAGACAGACCAGGCCAATAGCATCACAGGCTCGAGGCTTCCTGGGTCACCTGTTTCCTCCTCTTCCCCTAACATCTTCGGCCTCCCTCCTACCCACTCCATCCCCTAGATCCCTGATCATGCAAAATGCAACAGTTCCAGCCTGCCCCGGCAATTACAGACTAGCCAGGATGCAGCTGCTGTCCTTGGTGCTGAAAGAGCCCGCCTTCCGGCCTGCCCGCCTCTCGCCCCGCCCTGAGCCTTCTCGCGGGAGCGCACATGCTCTTAATTCAATTAGCTGGCCCTGAACCCTCCCCAGGGAACCCGGAGCGGAAACTGACAAATTCTGTTTAACAAAGACATTTGTCCCCCGCCCCACCGGCCTTGGGCTCTGCCCGCCTGTATCCCGCTCATTAGGTATCTAACAAAGTGCGTCCCAAGAAATCTGCTTCCAATCGCTAGTAATTCAGGAGGCCTGATGCAATTTTCTCCCTGATAAGGGTGTCTCGCCCGCTGGCAAGAACCATAATGAGCCCTGTGTAGCAGCTCCCCGATCAGTCACTGCTTTGTCATTTCCTGTGGCCCCAGTTGTAGGTTCTTATCTCTTCAGCTGAAGGCGAGGCTCAGAAAATGGGGGCCCTGCAAGAGGGCTTGCTGCCTCCCATGCATATCGCAAGCCTCATTATGGCATCCTGCATGGTCTTGCAGCTGCAGTGGGACTTGAAGCTCTGAGTCTGTCTGTGAGCAAAGGAGGGTCTGAGTGTTAATCCTCATTGGGGCCATAATTCATTCTCCAGAAAATGGTTTCAGAGGGTTAATCTGAAAGCAAGTTGCAGGGTCAGGGGAGGGGTGCCGGTGATAAGGATATTTAAAAATTCTGGCAAGGATTTTAGTATTAAATAGAGCCCTGCCCATAGCTTACTGGACAGTCTGTGGGCTCACTCTTGTTAG